TGGTCTCCACCTCCTGGGCAGCTGGAGCTTTGCTGCTTGCTCTGCAGGGTGACGAGGCACCCAGAAGAGAGCCCCAGACATAACCCCAAACCCCACATGCGGCTGAGCCTGGGGCCTGTTGTCTCCCTCCTCTTTGGGGCCCCCACTGTGAGCCTGCTCACCCCACCTGGGCCCAGGCCCCCACCCCTGTCGGCTCCGCCACGGACTTGGGGACATCAGGCTGGTCCATCTGTCCACGTTCTCCTTATGCTGTCCCCTGTGGGTGGGCTCCTCCCCTCAGAATACAACGAGCGGTATTGAGGGCCCCGTGTTCCAGGGCTACAGTCCATTTTCAGTCTTAGGGTGTAGACTCCCCCGGAAGAGTCTGCCTCTGTTCCGCAGAGCTGCTCCCCCTCACTTCTGAGCCTCACACAGCCTTCATCGCCCCTGCTGCGCCCAGTTCCCCGTCACCCCTCTCTCATGGTCCTGACCGGTTCTCCATCCACGTGCCCCTTGACATCTCAGCAGCCTTTGCCACAGCCAAGGGGTAACCTCCTCTTGCACTCGGGGTCCTGGCCCCACCCTGTTCAGTCCCCTTAGTTCTTTCCAGCCCCCTCTTCCTGGCATGTTGCTGCCTCCTCCAGTCTCCTGCGCTGACGTGACAAGGCCCCTGCGGCCTGGCCCTGCCCGCCTTCCTGGCCTTCCCCTGCTCTGCCCAGGGGTGGGAACCCTCTGGGTCAGGGCTTTGAATTTCAACTCCCGGTGAATGTTACTGTGATGGTTGGTGGGGAGAAGCGTTGTAGACCTTTGGAATGGAGAGCTCAAGACAGCGCTGCCGAGACACAGGTGGGCTTGAGAGACATGGGAGGACTCAGCCTCACACTGTGTAACCAAGTATCCGTTTATGCTTTGCTTTAGGACCGGAATGGAGACTTCCTGAGGGCGACTTTTCTGGTCTCAGTGATTGTGTCTCCAGGAGACACCAGCCCTAAGGAAGTTTTCAGTGGGGCATTTCCCAGCACCTTTGACGAACATCCACTCTGTTCTGTGTATGAGCTGGCTCTGGCTGTCCTCCCTCTCCAAAGTCCCCTTCAAGTCTCCACCATTACTGTTTATTAATTCTTTCACATCCTCTTACTCGCCTTGACTGCCCTGAAGAGGGTCATGTTCTATAGTAGGGTTGTTACAGGGCACCCCAATGTGAATTGGGTTGCAGGTCTGTGGGTCCTCACCGCGTGCTTAAAATACAATGGGACTACAGGCACAAAAAGGGTCAACAATGGGTTTATTTACAAAGGGGAAAGGACAAGGTACAACCCAGGGAGAGAGAGAGAGAGACAAGATAACTAGAACATCCTCCCAGCTCCGCTGACTTAGACTCTCATAGCACACTGAACGCTCCCCAAAAGCCGAGTGACCGGCCACGTGTCCAGAGAGAGCACGTCTCACATGGCGCCTTACATCTGCCCAAAGTCCCAGAATGCCTGCGTAGCTCCGCCCTCCGGCCCTCGCAGTGGCCCCGTGGTGTTGCTGGGAGTTGTAGTTTCAGCGGCTGCAGAAGGAGTTGCAGTCCACAGAACTGCAGAGTTCCTTTCCCCAACAGAGTGTGCTGCTCATCTTAAATAGTTTCAACAGCTATGGCTTTTCATTAAGGTAATAAAAATGGGCACATATTTCTATAAAATATCATCAGATACTTAATAAAATCTCTTTTAGAGTCTTGAGCTGAATTCATTGATTAGAGGAGACTAATTTATCTTAAGGATAAAGTGGACAAATTTTTCACCATTTTAACGCTTCTGAAGATGCAAACATCACACACTTGTTACGAGTAGCTCTGGGAAGTCGGTGGGCAGGAGAGACGATGGGAGAGATCTGAGGCTGCGGCCGCGTCTGGCTCTCTGTGCCATGGCTGGGGCGGGCTTGCGGGGGTCACTGTGGGGTGAGGAGGCTGCCAGAGGAGCCTCTGTGTGGTGGTGGGGTGTGGGGGGGTCACAGCCTGAAGGTGAAACTGACCACCTGTGTGCTGGCCCTTGCGTTACCGTCACATCCACTTGGGCTTCACGCTGTGATCTTGTGAAAACTCTTGTGACTGTCAGAGTTGAGGGTAAGTGATTTAGTCCAGTGTGTTCTGACTCTGAGCAGGTGGATCTCACCAGAATTCTTACCCTAGAATACAAGGAGGTGTCTGCTCATCTTTCCAGACACATAAGAAGTAGGAGCTCTTTTGAATGCAGAGTTACATGCTTCACTACTACTCTTTGCTGTACTAAATACTGTGCTGTTTTTCCAGAAGCTCCTCTGATGCCGACAATCGATTGTCTACTGACTGATGAAAACATTATAGTGCAGTGTGGACTCACGGAGACTTACTACAGCCATGACGACTTGCTACAGTACATGTGGCGGTGCCCGGTCGCCCAGTGCACAGAGGTCACCCCGCCCCAGGAGCTGCACTTTAAGAGGGATGAGCTCCCAGGGGAGATAACGTGTGTCGTTAAGAATCCCTTGTTTGAAAGGGAATCATCGATTGTGTCTTCAGTCTGTTCCCCAGGTAAACTCTAAAGCTGTCGCGCAGACTCAGACCGTGGGTTCGTGGCCCAGTGGCGATGTGTGGGTTCCCGTCCACAGACAGAGGCTGCTGGACCTCTCTCGTGAGTGAAACGTAGCAGGAGTTCCAGGCCACGATGCCCAGTCCCAGCCACCAAGTTCCCCTCTGTGAGCACTTTGACAGGCGTCATTCTGCCACGTGGGTGGGTGGGTCCTGCACAGCTACAGGGGCGGGTACTGGCCACTGTCCTGGTCACCTGGGGACACCCCGGGCCTCGGACCTGCCCGCTCGGGTTGGCAGCTGGGGCAGCAGTGCTTGGTGCTGACGTCACGCCACCTGCCTCGGAATTCTTGCTTTTCACGCTCACTGCTCTTC